GATTGATCTTGTCACCTCCTTGGGAGGCAGGAACAAGAAAGAATTCGTGTCGGTGGATGCCCGATACGACGTCAAGAAAGATACCCGTGCGTACGAGATGCTGTCGAGAGACTCGAGCGCTGTTGTAACACCAGTTTCCCCAGTCAAATCCCCCGTTGTAAGTCCCAACAGCGGACGAAGAACGCCCGACTACTTTGGGCAAACAGCCCGCTACCAACCGCCGATGCGGTCCTTCTCAAGCCCCCGCCCGCCGCAAACACCACCCACTTGGGATGCGCGAGCGACGTACGCCCGGCCCGAGTCGCGAGCCCGGCCAGACGGGTTCGAAGACATGAACCCACTTGGGATGAACAGGATATAATGAGACGGAACGACGACGAATAGAACGAAAAAAAGGAAGGAAAAACAGTAAAACTCAAAAAAGGAAAAGGAAAAAAGAAGGAGAGAGGTTTGGGCAAGGAACCAGAGTGTTCCATGCCCCCTCACCTTAAAGCACCTTTTACCACCACCCCACGGACCCGGTCACCAAAACATGGTTCGCATTATTATCGGCCGAAGCATCTGGACACCACCACGTGCTGGTCATTGACATATCAGCCAACTAACAGAGATGATGTAATGTGGAGGAATAGTCGGCCTTATTTACTGGCCTTGTCACATATTTTTTTTTTTCATGAACAAAAAAACCCCGAACCATGTAATACCAGCGTCGGCGTCTCGGACTTGTTTAGGCAGCGAAGGGACGGGTACAATACCCACAATTTAGAGACTCTGTACCTTTAGAGAGAGGGACGGCGGGAGGCGACAAAGGGAACGTCCGGAGCCTCACCGAGGGGGTGGGAGAGGGGACCCAGGCTTCGGGGCGGAAGAAGGCCCTTGACGGGATGGGCGGAACGAATCATGATTTGACGGGGGACGGACATGTAGGTGTTGTCCAAAGTCCGACGAAAATACAAAAAAAAACGAGAGTCACGCGACACTATAATGCAAGTTTGCCTATCAAGTACCGGACCATGCAGGACGCAACAAGGCGATTGAGTGGTGAGGAATGAGAGCAGATCCAAAGTACCGAGCAAGGATCATCATGCTGGGTGTGTGAGGGTGAGCATTGCGCGTGTGTGAGTGAGCTGGCGTCGGCGGGATAAGGCAGGACAGCGATGGTCTGGCAAAAGTAAGCCCAGCCGGAATCTGCGGAATGGACGGCTGGTTGGGATTAACGAATGATGCGAGGAGCGGCGGAGAGGCTAGCGGGAGTCACCACCCCATCCCATCCCATATACCGCAAATCTCTGCAGAGTGCGCCGGATCGCGCGTATTGTGAAAGTGTTGTTCCCAAGGTCCCGAATCCCAGCGGCGCCAGCCTGGCCGGGGGCCACGGGAAGTGGTGGTTCTTGGTTTTGATTCGATTGATTGTATTCCCAACCCCCAATCCCAGGGCTTCCGCTCCGTCCGGCTTCTTCGGAGGGGGAATGGGGGAGCGCACACCACACCCACGACATCACAAATCTGACCGTTCAGTCATGTAAGCGGGAAGTGCATTGCAGCAGGCGCCGCTCGGCTGCCCGATTCTCGTTCGATTCGCCTTGGCGTTTTCATAATTATAAGTAGTTTTGGGTGCGCAAAGTGAGTTATACCAAGAAAGGCTGTTTATTTTACTGTTTTCCTCTTTCCATCGCATCTTTGCTTTGAAACGGATCGCATCGTCAACGCATGGAGGAGGAAGAGCACCCTGCGTAGAACCCGACTGTCGAACCACAAACACAAGGTGTATATCAAGCATCCCGCCGCCGCCACTACCGACGAACGACGAACTGTTCATCCTGGCAGCCCTACACTCGGGGAAGCTCACTTGACGAGTGCCTTTTGCTGGCCCAGCCTGAGCAGAGTCCAACGGCAGAACCTCAGCAACGTCCTCACTCCGGCCCCATCGAGAGGTTCCATCACGGCGGTTGCATCTGAGCTGAAATTTGCCCGGCTGAACAACAAAGAGGCGAAGCAGCAAACGACGGATCAGAAGCGGGCATTACCGTTCAACGAATTCAGATACCAAAAGCCCGTCTCCTCCGGCATCACACTGGAGAAGACACAGCGCTACAGCATTGACATCTGGTCGGATTGTGCACCGTTGCGCCGGTTCCCCGGGAACGAAACGAACCCAAGGACGAGAGAAATAAGAAAATCGAAACAAGACGGCCCGCCCGTTGCACACGTTGCGATAAACATCGTCTGTGACGTGCATCCGTCCCGGCACGTGGCTGACAGCATCTACCTTGCCGCCAGCAAACACGAAGAGAAACAACCTTGTGAGGTTGCGAGAGGAAAAAAGAGAGTGTGTGTGAAGTCATTCCACTAATTACCTTACCTTACCTGTCGGCTTCATCGGGACAAGCTTTGCCCCGGCCATCTCCCGTGTCATTGAGGCTTTGTCCTTGCAGCAGTGGAGGGCTGTTCCCGCTGGAAACAGCCTAGCGGATCGAGCTGTGCAGCACCAGCACCATCATCAGCTACAACCCCACGTTCTGATTGGCCAATCTCCATCTTTATCGCTGTCCAGACGCAAGGAACATCAGTAATGCCGTTCGCCGAGATCTTCAAGCTGCCCCCCGGCTTGCCGGCCAGGGTATGGCGCTGGAGCTCGGGACGTCCCCAAGCTGGGACACTGGTTGATGACATCGAGCAACCGAGCACTCCGCCAGCCAGAGGCGGTGTCTACTTCCCCAGCATAGACGATTCTGCGACAGCCGACCATGGAGCCTCCTCCCCCGGCCTCTGCTTCCGAAAGAGAACCCCGTCATCGTCATCACCATCATCGCCATTTGCAAACCCGCCCTCAAAACCATCACGTCTAAGGCCCCTCTGCCACCTCGGCTTCATCAGGCTATCGCAGTTCAGGATGTTCCTCCTCCTGGCCTTCGTCTTCCTCGGCGGCTACGTCCACTACCTCTGGAAGGCCGAGGCCGCCCTCGGCGTCGCGTGGACCCCCGACCCGGAGACCAGGCTCTTCGAGCAGCGCCCGCTGCTGCCCCCTATCAAGGAGACGAGCATCGAGACCTACACCCTGCCGCTGCACACAAAGGGCCGCGACGTCGTCGACGAGCACGGCCGCCGCTTCAAGCTGCTGTCCGTCAATTGGTACGGCGCCAGCGACGAGCTCAACATCCCCAGCGGCCTTGACGTCCAGCACCGCGACACCATCGCCCAGACCATTAGAGGGTTGGGCTTCAACAGCGTCCGCCTGCCCTACAGCGACGAGATGGTCATCACCGACCCGCCCGTCCCCGCCGAGCTGCTCTCCGCCAACCCGGACCTCGTCGGCATGCACGCCCTCGACGTCTTCGAGGCCTGCGTGACCGCCCTCACCGACGCCGGCATCGCCGTCATCGTCAACAACCACATCACCCACTCGACCTGGTGCTGCGGCGCCGACCCGTGCGACGCCCACTGGGCCAACGACCACCTCGGCCCGCTGTGCCGCATCAAGCAGACCGAGGAGGACTGGATCCAGCACTGGGAGAAGATCATGCTCCGCCTCGTCGACAACCCGCGCGTCATCGGCGTCGACCTGCGCAACGAGGTCCGCGGCCTCTGGGGCACCATGTCGTGGGACAAGTGGGCCACCGCCGCCGAGAAGGCCGGCAACCGCCTGCTGGAGATGAACAAGGACTGGCTTGTGATTGTGGGCGGCACCGAGTCCGGCAACGACCTCACCGGCGTGGCCGACCGCCCCGTCGTGCTCAACGTGCCCGACCGCGTCGTCTACTCGGCGCACGTCTACGCCTGGTCCGGCTGGGGCAGCGTCGAGGGCCGCTACTCGAAGCGCGGCTACGCGTCCTTTGTGAAGGCGATGCGCAAGAACTGGGCGTACCTCGTCGAGGGCGACCAGGCGCCCGTGTGGGTGGGTGAATTTGGCGCGCCGCACCGTCCGAGTATTGGTGATGCAAACTACTGGAACAACCTGCTGCGGTACCTCAAGGTCATCGACGCCGACTTTGGCTACTGGGCCGTCAACCCGCGCAAGCCCCACGAGAACACCAAGGAGACGTACTCGCTGGTGGAGGACGACTGGGTCACGCCCGTGCTGGACTACAGGATGAAGGACATGGTCGAGATCATGCGGGCTTAGAGCGCGCCGCAGTTGGACGATGACCGGGAGGAGTGCTTGCTTGAGTCACGGATTATGGAGCTTTTGGAGACGGTATGCATTTGATGTCTCGATTGATTTTAAAAATTACTGGCGTTGGGAGGGTGAATTGGTACTTGGACGAGGTGCCAGCTTCGGATACCCGGCTACCTTTCTGGTCAGGCACGAGCTCGAAACTTGACGATGGTGTGTTTGCGAAGTTCTTGTTACACGGCAATTGGACTCATGATTATGACCTTTATCTACGAGCATTGACTTGGACGACATGTGTGTGTGTGTGGTCAGACTGTGACATTCAATCTGGACCGAATCCTGCCAAACTCACCCAGTGCATTGTGCATTGAGAGCTAGTTCGTGTCAATTGATGCCATCAACCATTGCGAAAGCTTGCATCCACATTCCTGGGAGCTCTCTCATGGCCCCCCACAAACGGCAAATCGCGTGGGCTCGATGAAACGGTTCGACCCCTCCTCTCCAGACAGCGAGAAGCAGGGACCAGCAGCGGGGCGAGGGGACGGAACGTGGAGCTCACCTAAGCTTCTTATCGATAAAGCATGGTCCTTTCCTATCGATAAGCAAATTACAGTGGGACCACCCCTCCTTACGTGCCGGCCGCAAAGGTGGGCAGGCGGGCGGATTGTCGACAAACAAACCCGAAATATGATTAACGGGCGGCCTGACCCCGCTGGCCACGTCTGACAACCAAACAGCTCTTCTTCACCACAGGCCCGAGGCTTCTTCTCAACCTTCTCGCACAGAACAAGAGCAAGGTTGATTTCCACCGGCACACCGTTTCCCCGGAAAGCGCTTATGTCGCGCTCGAAGAGAAAGAGAGGACAGGACTCTGAGGAGTAAGTCCATGGCGGGCCAAACGGGACAGCAGCAGCCCGATCGCGGCTTCCGCGAGGCTGTGCTGGGGAGATGCTTCGTCCAGGACGCCATGGAACGGGTAAGTTCTATCTCCAGGAAAGCTGCTGGGTTGCTAAACCTCCGACCCCTCAGTTTGGCGACGGCGCCCCCGAGATCATCCGACAACACGAGCGCGACCACATCCACCAGGTAGCGACCGAGACGATTGTCCAAGGGGTCCCGACGGACCAGATCTTCACCGGATCGGAGCAGGACGACCCCGCGGCGGCGTCGGAGCAGCAGCCGCTGGAGAAGCACGTCCCGCGGATGCCGTACTATCGGAATAACCTGACGGCGCTGTCGCAGCGATACAATGTTGGTGTAACCATCGCGGACGAGGTGATGGCGATGTTTTGTTGACACACCCTCTTCTTTCGCAGCTCTACTTCGCGGCGTACGAGAACAGGATATTCGTCTACCGGCCCAAGAGCGCGCTCCGGCATGCGCTCCCCCGCGAACCGAACCTGATACTAGCCACGAAGCCGGACAAGGTCGCGATCCACGTCGGCGGCACGCTCGACCCCCGCTTCCACCACCAGACGAACCACATCACCACCGGCTTCCTCGGGCGGGAGGAGGTCCTGGTGGCGGCGTACGACGACGGGTCCGTCATCGCGTGGTACATCGGCTCCATCGCAGACTTCGTCGACCGCCGGACGGCCGCCGTGCCGACGCCCTTCTTCCGCGACAACGTGGGGCGCTCGGCGTGGGGCATCGTGGTGCACCAGCAGTCGCGCCTCATCGCCGTCAGCTCCAACCGGTTCGAGGTGACGGTGTTCGCGTTCGCGCTCTCGCGGCTGCCGGAGGCGCTGTGGCGGCGGGACAGGCCGTACAGCCACTGCGAGGCGTGCGTCTTTAAGAGGAAGAGGAACTGGCGCATCGTGATTCCGCTCGGCGACGGCGGGCACAACATACCCAACATCTCCATCTGGGACGACGAGGACGGGTTCGCGGAGAAGGTCGTCGCCATCGACATCAACGGCACGCTGTGGATCCTGGACATCTGGAAGCCCAAGACGAAGGCGATCCAGATCCAGCACAGGACGCATGTGACGCACCATTGGAACTTTCGTCACCAGATGTAAGTCCTCTTGGTACGCTGTGAAGTTGTGAGTACTTACACGCTGCAGGGGTTGGGGTGTTGCGGTTCTACCGTATGAAAGCTTTCTGCCCGCGTACTCGTCGGCAGAGTTGCTTGGGCTGGAAGAGAGCGACATTATGAATTCGAAACCTCCGCTTGCTGGACGCTGGGTGGAGACACAGAAGAGCCTGGCCAATGTGCGCAACCACCCGTCACCCCTTTCTGCACAAGCCGTCCCAGAGCCCGAGCCTAACGAGATATTTGCTCTCGCTCCCATGGGGTTTGAGGTGCCGCCTTTGGATGGTGGGGCATGGATAGACGACGAACTGGCGGGAAATCCGCCGGGGGGCAACGGGCCGGCGCTCACGATAGACGTTGACGACAGCGACGATGAGGAGGAGGACAGCGACAGCGATGGTAGTGCTCCGCTGGACATGCAACCGCCGGCCGAAACATTGTCGTCCGACTCTAGCGACACCGACGGGAGTGCACCGCTGCACGAAGACGAGATTGAGGACGATAGCGACAGCGACGGTAGTGCTGCGCTGCCGAACTTTTTGGAAGCCCAAGACTGGTTTACACAACTGCCCGTCAACTACCCCCCGGAACAGGATCCTCCCCTGGCGCATGTGCACCCAATCGATGCCGCGCTTGGGGCATTGGAAAAGAACAAAGACCAACCAGGATGGCACACACGCATCGGGTCGGAAATTGAACCGTTTCGCGACATGGTGTACCTTCCCCACGAAGGCAAGGCCTTCAGCTGGCCGGACTCGTTGGCCGGAAGGGTGCGTTTCCACAAGAGGGAGAGAGTGCGGAACCGCAACACGGTCGACCAGGACCCGGACGTGCTGGACGAGCTCGCGAGCCGCAGCTGCATCATGCGGACCTACGAGTATGACATCGAGCTTAGGAGCATCAACATGGACGACGGCGCGGCGGTGGTCTGCAGGGACCCAATCAACTTCGACCCCGCGCAGAACATGTTCATGCAGCACGCCGAGCGCCTCAACATGATCATCCACGTGCCGGAGCTGTCGCTCGTGGTGGTCGGCTCCGCCATCGGGCGCGTGGTGCTGCTGACGCCCACCCGGACAGGGTATCCGCACGGGCTGCGCGGGGACGGCTTCAAGGTCAAGAACGGGTTCCGGATCGACTGGGTCCTGCCGACGCGTGCGGACGAAGATGCTGGGAAGAGGCCCAACAGGAGTCTGTACGGCATCGCGGTGGGCCCTGTGCAAGAGGCCGGCGCGCCTGGGTGTCTTTTGAGAGCGGACGGTGCGGCGGCGCCGTCGCCTGCGACGAGGCGGTACCGGCTCATGCTGCATTACCGCGACCATAGGATTTTGAGTTATGATATTGGAAGGGATGAGAAGGGGGAGCACCTTCTCGTCTTTTGAGCGTGTGGAAGTGGTCTTGAGAGATGACGAAGGTTAAAGAAAGCGGATATGATTATCAAGTCTCGGTAGCACACGCAGGCTTTTGTTCCGTAAAGGTTTTCTTGGGTTTCATGGACATTATTGGCGTTGAGGAGGGGGTTCTTTCCTGATACCCGGCCTACGGTGCCCCGCTGAGGGGCTGCTGGAGCGATATAGCTAGGCCTTGGAAGAATGCATTAAAAGTTTGCATCGTCGGTGTTTTGTTTGGTGATGATTAGTGTGTGTCAACTGATTGACAGGAGGCGGTTTGCAGATGCTCACGTTGAGGTAGGTTGAAGTCAGGTCATGGGTTGAGTGCTCTGGTGCTTACGATGTCTGCTCCTAATGAGCTCTGGTGACTTATAAAAGAAGGCTGGATTCGCATGGGAATCGGAGGTCTGCCCAAATCAAGTTCGAGGGGCTTCTCAAGGATGGTATTCGACCGTCGTATGAATGGTGGCGTCTGTCTGCTTGAAGTCCGTAATCGACCGCTCCACCATCCGAGAGAGAATCTTGGAGATGCTTGATATTATTTCGTCTCTAACATATACTCTCAATAATACTTCGATGACGGTGCGAAACGACGAAGCAGTGAAAGGCTGGATGCAGGGGGTAAACGGTGCGTTGGTCCTTTAGGCTTGGGCGTGCCCTTGGAGGTGATACTGCTGTCTGTACCGAATCGGATCCAGATGCTCGACGCAATCTCCGATTGTTTCAAAAGTTTCTGGACGTGTCGTTACGTTTAATGATTTATATACTTCTTCCATGATGGCATGCCACAGCACGTTAAGTAAGTGTACCATCCCCCAAACGAACCAGTTTCAGTGATGTATGCTGATCTCTGGTGATGAGGTGATGCTTGGTGGCAATGGCTTATAAATTGAAGTACGTCTCCTTTGATGGTACTAGCCACGGCAAAATGATGCGAATGTCGGGGGTGTGTGTTAGAAACTAACAAAGACTTTGCGTCCATGGGTTCGATTCGGTTAGTGCGAAAAGTCGTTGACGAAGACTTAGTCCTTGTGCGAGGATGATGGTTTCTCTCAGTAGGTATTCCCGCGAATGAGAGCGTGGATGACAATGAAGACTAACGCCTATCTTACTGTTGACGTGTTCTGATATGCTGCTGAACGTCTTGGGCTAGGGCGACATAACGAAGGTAATGAAAGAAGCGAAGACGGGGTTTGTTCCTAACGCAGGAAGGTACTTCTATTTGGGGTCTGGTTAAAATGGTAGTAGGAGGTAGGCCTTATATACCACAACCTCGTCATCAGGGGGTCAGCGGATATGGCAGCTAGTGCTTTACCGACCACGGACAGCCTAGTTTGCAAGCCCAACTCCGGTCTCATCTGTGGAATGTCTGATCAAGGGATGTATAAAAGACCACTTACCATTCTGAGTGAGCTTTTTCTCCAGCATTAAATCTTCCTCGCAAACGTTTGCAATCGACGACAAGAAGGAGAGTGTCAAGATGTCTTTATGGCTGTCTCAATGTTTCATGCTCACTATGTTGTGATTGTCACTAATCATCACTCTTCCAGGAGACAAAACACTGCTCGCATTGCCGTCTTTCAGCGTCACTACGTGAATATTCGCGCTCAATACGCATCTCAGAGTTATCCTTTGCGCTCCCCCTACGTTGCCTATCCTTCAAAGGACCTCCTTCAGATGCGCTGTTCCCAGACTAAGTCAAGCAGAGAGCTAAAAAGAATTCGTTGCAGTCTTTGGATCTTCAGGAAAATGTACGCGTCGTTTACTTATGAAGCCTTTAGCAACAGTCAACACAAGCAATACTGCGTCTATTTGATTCACTCAGTGTTAGCTTGTGTACTTGAAGTTGAGACCTATATGCTTTGATTCATAGAGTTTTGACGCGTCCCCTACGACCTATTTGACAACCTCTCTACGCCTCTCACATTCAGAAGCAGTTGCCCCCATACTTGTTTCCTTCCTGAGGGCCTGTGCTGGAACAGCAAGCCGCATACGCGGAGATGAACTGGTTCTGGGTGAACTGTCCCAGCCCGCTGAACTGGCAGAGTCCGCCGTCGTTCAACCAAGACCCCTTGCGATCCACTCCGTCAGGGAACGTGACTCCGTCTCCAGTGACGCAGCAAGTGTTGGAGAACTGGTCGGGGTTTGGGCCACCGGAACCGGTGCAATAGCACTTGTATTGGGCCTATTCGATAATGTCATGTTAGTCAATTGCCTATAAGGACTTGGAGAGAAATTGTACGCACGTTTGCAACGCCCGCGAGGAGGAGGAGGCTCAATGATGAGAAGAACTTCATGATGACAAGGCTAAGCGCTGAGATGCCGACTTAGGGTATGTACTGCAGTTACGTTAGTCTCTTCAAATATTATTCTCATGGTCTCCATCATACTTACTGAGGTTGCAAGCGAATTGAGCTACTTGATGATTGTTGTGATTGTGCCGTTCACTTCCTTCCAGTCTCAAAAGAACAGAGAGTTGTTTTATATCTGACTGATTGTACACAACGCCCATCGGCTTCGGAGCCTGTGGGATGCGGCAGGGCCGGGCACTAACAAGAGGTTGATTGATTAAATCATATATTCAGAGTTCTCGTCTCCCCATATTGAGCTGACGGCCAGCCTGTAACTTTTTTTCAACTTGTCTGGCTTATACGACAAGCTTGGTCTTCCTAACAGTAATGCGGCTGCTCCTCATACCGCTTTTGCTCTTGCGCACCGCATGAGGAATTCCTCCCCGACTTCCTGTCCTGACCTCCAGCACCACAGTATGTTGGAGACTGAAAGATTCCCAAAGGCTAAGAGACGGTTATCTCCGGCTCCAAGGTTTTCAAGGGGCTTTTAGGTTCAGGACAGACTGCACAGCATCGTTGTTTTTCTTTTTAGTTCCCTAGCGGCAGCAGTTGACAGTTGTCGCGTATCCCCACAAACTCTATGCGCGCGTCTCCCGCAAGATGTCGCAGTTCTCTGTTGCCCGCCAACGGATCACCGCCACAAACCGCAGGCTGTCAATCAACAACCAACGGACTTCGATGGTGTAGATTCCCTCGACCCCTAATTGAATGAGACACTTGCATTACGCCTTTCGTGCATTCATTTGGTGTGGGCAGCAAATGACCTAGACGAAGTCGTTAGACATGCACTATGCCAGACAGGGCCAGGCACTGTTAGAGCGCCTTAGCTGCTGTACTCTATGCCAAGGCCACCGTCCTTGGTCGGGACAAATTTCCTTCTCCCGTACAAGAAAGACCGAGTTCAGGATGGGAACAACCATCCCCCCCCCCCGATCATCATTGAGGCTGCTCACATGGCTAGGTCCATCCCGGATAGACCCAAAACCGTGCAATGCCACTGATTGAGCCCGAGAAGACTGTGGGATGACGGGTTCGTATGCTTAAGCAAGTACCAAAGGCTGCAGGATGTGCTCAGAACCCGGAGACAAACCTATCAAGTCACACTGGAAGTTTTCTGAACACAGAAGCGCATCGCCTTGTATGACTCTCTAATATGGAACTATGACTTACCATGGTGAGAAGGAAAACAAGAAAGATTAGCCAACATGGTCGCAAACTAAGGGAAGTCAGCTTCTGCCGTTCCTCAGATGTCAAACCACTCTCATCTCTGCAGTCTTTATAAGCAGCCACGCCAAATCAGTTAGTTGTTTAAATGTGAGCCTAAGAAGTGATCTTGGTATTTCGATCCTCAACTTCTGCAGAGTGCTATGCTGTCATCTGTCAAATCTGCTAAAGAGGTTCGTCGTACTGCGCAGCACCTACCATGGCTAGCATTGCCATGCCTACATCACAAAGAATTCTGACGGACGAGAGAGTTGACAGGAGGCGATGAAGGCTCCGAGAGGGAGGAGAGGCTTGTCGGCTGATTTTCGATTCGGCTCGGCATGATACAGACAAAGGGCAAGATCGCTTGATTACTGACACCTAGAACCTTCCTGGAAATCAATTTCCGGTTGTCTTTACATGCGAAATGCCGTTGCTGAGCACCTTCATATATCGCCATGAAGCGCTAGACGAAGCAAGCGAGTCCTCGTCAAATTCCATCTCAACTTGGTCATAGAACCCGCGCGATCTTTGACTTGTTGCACGTCGTCCTGTGAATTATATATTTGAAGCGTACTGTTTGCCTAGAAGCTACCGACAGGCACAATCAACTAGTCGTCTGCACGCGCCTTCAAAGACTTCCCAATCATAGCCCCGTGCAAGCTTGTGACTAAGTAAGACACGCCAGTTGCTTTGGAAATGTTTATCTACTCCACGGCTCTGATACTCAGAATAGTCCTTAGATACTAGTCGAGGACAACGCCTCCGATCTCGGGGCATATCGCTGCGGTATGTTTCCCTGTGACCGGTGGCATCTCAAGGAAAGGGGAGCTGCAAGTATTAGATGTGTGGAATGACGAATGCACAATCAATCGAACTGAATTGCTTTGAGAACTTGGTTTTGACTGTGGGTTCTCATGGATTATTACACTCTGTGTAGTGTGATCTCGTGTATATCCATCTCCGATATGCTGCCAGAGTTCTTTGCCCATTAGGAAGACTACATCTACCTCATGCTGAGAACTGCTGGAAAAATTCAGAGACTTGGAAAAGATTCGAGGATTCGAAGGCCATTTTGGATTTTAAAGGGACAGATGTCAACGCTAAAACACAACGCAAGACAACAATGTGCAGCAGATCTTCAATACCTTTTTCTACCTGTGGTAAAGTGTGACAGTGAGAGTTTCGAACGCGTTGAATTCAAGACGCCGTGATACAAGGTTCAGAGGTTGCAGAGACTCTTCATCGCTGTTGGTGATGGTTTATCCCGAAGCATTCTCCTACTGCTAAAGGCCAACTCTCGACTCGAGGGAAAACTACTCTCAGGCCCAGTTTGTCGACTATCAGAGAGGACATCTTTCCATGTTCGAATCAACAAGATCGAATATCGACTATAAGGAAATTTGGCTGACCAAACTGGGAAGCTCGAACCAGCAA